CCTTAGGCACGAAGCCAGCTGGCTGACCTTGGGCCAGTCACTCTCTCTCAGCCCTAGGAAGGAGGCAATGGCAAACCACTTTCACAAATCTTGCCAAGAAAACTGCAGGGACTTGTCCAGGCAGTTGCCAGGAGTCAACATTGATTCCACACATACACATAGGACTAGTCTGAGAATAGATGCCCTCTTCTCTCAGAATGGAAAACAATTGAATCAAGACAACATGGAGCTGGCCCTCTCATTTTTAAAAGCTTACTTTTAAAGCTTACTTACTTTGCCCATTAAATAAATTGAAAGGTTTAGGTGGGATTAACTCTTTCATATCTAACTCCTTGGGTTATTTCCTCCTCTTCACTGTAAGACTGAATTGAAGTACTTCATTTTCAGTGGATCTAAGGCAGGATAAACCATATCAGGAGTGAAATCTCTATAGTATTTGCTTTTCTTAAAAAAAAAAAAAAATCTAAGATGGTGAGAAGGATTGTACCTTTTCTAAGGCAAAGGATCTTTCTGATATGGACACATGGCCAGTGTTAAAAGGGAAGCCTCTCCATAGAGCTCCCTGCTGTTTTGTTTTGTTTTTTTACAGTTAAAAAAAAGAGTTGGAAGACTCACAATCACTTGTATGTTGACAAAGGTCCAACAACCCTCAGCCCCCAAATGGCCCAGCATTATTTTTTAAAAATCAAGAGGGAAAAAACCTCTAGATCAGAATTTTACCTCCAAAACTGGGCGGATATCCCAGATCTAATCATCCATCATGGGAGGAGTTCTCTCTGGGGCAGATGGATGTTGTTTTTGGATCCTAGTCATTTTACACCCTGCAAGGGAAGCCCTCAAAAGAGGCCTTCCCTTTTTCTGTGTTTTTGCCTTCCAAATCATTTATTTAAACATATGCAAATGAAAATATTTCTTCATCTCCAAAAGAAGCTTCAATGCTGTTTCCTTTTCACAGCTCTTTTTAATAAACTGATTCCTGAATTTTACTTCTTTTTTGGAATGAAGAATATGACCTATCGTTTTTTTTAAAAAATTATACAGGAAGACAGAGGCAAATTCCTTAATCAAAATAACTAGGATGTAAGGTTTAATGTTTCCCAATCCATACAGAAATCTGATTTAACTAAGGACCCCATGCATTTCCTGGAAAGTAAAAATAAACAAGGGAAAAAGAACTAGCAGCCAGTTTCCTCTGAATGTGAGGAGAAGAAGAGAAAAATGGGAGAGAAGAATATAGGTTCCAAAGACACTGAAATTGATTCCAATAGATGAGAATATATGTAACTCAGGGTTGAACTGTGGAGTCCTTGGTACTCTCTGGGCTTGGTTATTTGCTTGCAGATGTTTCATTACCTGACTCCGACTAGGTAATTAGGTACACAATACATACAAACAGCCAATGAATTACTGGAGGACAAAAAAACCTACATCCCAGTAAATGCCAACCCATTATAGAAACTAGACAACCTGATCAAGAGAACCCTCAACAACCTAACCAAGAAAGGTCAAATCACAAAAGAAGAACAGTGGTTGATGACAAGCAATGGACCTATCCTGGCACACTGCTATGGACACCCAAAAATACATAAGCCCAACATATCTCTTAAACTAGACAACCTGATCAAGAGAACCCTCAACAACCTAACCAAGAAAGGTCAAATCACAAAAGAAGAACAGTGGTTGATGACAAGCAATGGACCTATCCTGGCACACTGCTATGGACACCCAAAAATACATAAGCCCAACATATCTCTTTGTCCAATTGTATTGTTAACATGCTCCCCAACATACCACATAGCCCAAGAACTTACAAAAAAGTTCTGTGGACATCTCACAGAGGGGAGCGAATATTCTATCAACTCCCCACTACAGTGCCTCCAGAAAACCAAAGACCTAAGAATAAAAGAAGATGAAATTATGGTTTCATTTGATGTCATAGCACTCCAGATCCAGAACTAGCGAAAGAATCCATGGCAGCAGTACCACACCTCACATCCAACCTAGCCAAATACACTAAGATTGAAATACCCAGAATCATGGTCCTCATCAACCTCTGCCTCACTACCTACTTTCAGTTTGATGGACAAATATACAAACAAATCAGAGGAACACCCATGGGATCACCACTCTCAGGACTCATAGCAGAGACCATAATGCAGTGTCTAGAAACTATAGCATTCCAACACATACAACCAAAAGTATGGATCCTATATGAAGACAACACCAGCATAATAAAAAAAGGAACAACTAAAGTATCAACATCTTCAAAGGAATAACATTCAAAAGGGAAGAAGAAAACAACATACTACCCTTCCTGGCTATCCTCATCAGCAGAGGAAACAGTGACAAATTAGAAATGCAAGTCTATCGAAAAACAATCCACACGAACCAAGTGCTCCATTACCGAAGTAACAACCCAACCCCCACAAGAAGAGCTGTGTAAGAACATTATTCAGACAAGTACGAACGCACTGCAGCAACTCAGAACACCAGAAAAAGAAAACAGACCGCCTATACAACATCTTCCAACAAAATGGATATCCATGTAACTTTATCAAAAAGTGCCTGACCACTCAATCCACTACAGCACAACCAATACAAGCTATGAAAAGGGAAACACTGCCAGACAGGCAGAAGACTAGCAGAGCGCATCCATGAACACCAACTAGCAGTCAGAAGACATGATGAAAACTCCTTAATCTCACAACACATGAACAGACTCAACCATAGTTTCAACTGGGAAACAATGAGCATCATAGACCAAGCTAATTCCAAAACTGCTACGGAATTCCTGGAAACTTGGCATTCAGACAAATCAGCCATCAATAGACACATAGAAATAAATGATGAAAACTCCTTAATCTCACAACACATGAACAGACTCAACCATAGTTTCAACTGGGAAACAATGAGCATCATAGACCAAGCTAATTCCAAAACTGCTACGGAATTCCTGGAAACTTGGCATTCAGACAAATCAGCCATCAATAGACACATAGAAATAAACTATATTTACATACCATTCAAAAGAGACAATAAGAAAGCTAAGAAGGAAACAAAAAGACCAGAACACATCCTCTCCAGCAGACAAAAGCCAGATAAGCAGGGATTAACACCAGACAAACAATCAAGCAGAAAACAATACCGTAATCAAGGAACTACCAAAGAGAAAACCCTCACCCCCCACCAACACTGGCAGGACAAACCACTGCCTATAAAAAGGGGGCAAAACCCACACTCAGTCACGCTGTA